ACATAATTTCTTTGTTGAAAAACATGATCTGATTTAAAGTATTTCAGAATGTATTCGGAATAGCAGAAAACTTGACATGAAATATAACCTAAACCAGATGCATTTTTTATGAATTTGCATTACCACAGTATTGGCTGCAAAGACTCATGCCCGTCATGTGATAAAATTATTGATTAGGTATTTCCAAAAAATAAGTTAAATTACATATGCTTTGACCATGCAAGAAATAGTTACACTAAATATAATTTAACATGGTAGAAGACTTTTAAATTCAACATAATTTTATGTTCTTGGAATTGAACATCATATGACTGCTGATCTCATTGGCTGACATTGATTGCCCAATCACATGAGTGCAAGGAGAAAAGAATGGCAATGTTGCAGATCATGGCGAACAGCATGTTACGATTTGTAGGGTCGGCTTATATACAAATTTTTATAAATTCACCGTTTTATGGAGTCGGCTAATATGCGCGAATATGCAAAATAAATTAAAAAATTTCTTTGTGAGATTGTATTTGGAATAGCAGAAAACCTGACGGTAGATTTCCGAGCCTACTATAAAATATAGAGAAAGTAAATGCTATAAGTTTTCAATACCGCAGTATCGGTTGCGAAGACTAATGTCCGTCATGTGATAAAATTATTGATTAGGTATTTCCAAAAAACAAGTTAAATTACATATGCATTGGCCAAGCATGAAATATGTATACTGAATTTAATTTAACATTGGCCCTAATATAGAAATAGAATTTTTGGTGAGAAAAGGTTTTCGTTTTTGGAATTGAACATCATATGACTGCTGATGTCATTGGCCGACACTGATTGCCCTGTCACATGAGTAAAAGGAGAAAGGAATGGCAATGGTGCAGATGATTATCATGACGATATCAGAGTCATCGACTATCACATGATAAGGAAATTGTTTGTTTAAAAATTTTCGAACAAGGGATACACATCGCAACCCAAATAGTCAAAATAAATTTGAAATTGGTTATTTTTCATATATAGGGTATCCATGAAGTCTTGAAATTTTGATATCATATATTGTTTTAGCCTTCACAAATGTATCAAATGCACTAAAAATCCTTAAACAATTACTGATTAAAAAACAACAAACCTGGTAACGATTTATATTGAGAACTGACTTCATAACAGAATTGAAATTGTAAAAAAACTTTACGGACACCCTGTACTGAAGCACTCTGGAGTGAAAGGTTCATCACAAGTCTTTTCATAGTTCAGTCGCGATTTTTTTCGTTTCTAATTAAAGTCAGCAATCATTCCACTTTTAAATAATTACATGGACTCTCATTAATATTGTTGTTAGGGTTGGGCATTTTCGAATATCTGATGATTTCAGAATCGAATCCAATATTCTTTTTCGAATCCAATATTCTTTTTCGAATCGAATCTCGAATATTTGGAATATATTCAAATGTACCGGTATGTGACTTTTTCATTGTGATGTCTCCTCCAAGCACATAAATTACTGAAAACATAGCTATCACTCAGTTTGTTGAGCGTTCACACACAACAAGAAACATGTTTCATCATTACCTCACAAGAAAAAAAAAGTCATATGTCAAAAAACAATATGGCGGCAATTCGAAATTTTCATCTCAACAGTTTTGAATATTAATCGATTCGAAGTCCCAATTGTTGTATCTACTTTATAAGTCTAAAAGATAATCTAAAGTGTTGAAAGCTAAAAATATACAAAGAAAGCTATGGTGATGAATCAAAGGCAAATTTACCAAAAGTATATGCAGATGTAAACCACAATCTACTGTGAGTTAAAATCATAAAATATCAAAACACATTTTTCATGAAATTTACAAAAAATCGAAAGTTCACTGCAATAATCTATGAGACAGTAAATTTAAAATATCTGCAATTTCAATGCAATAGAGAGAAATCTATTAAAATCAGTAAATTTCAAATACATGGTTTTGTAAAAACAACATATTCAAACAGAAATAATTTGGCATTGTTCAGACATCTTTCCTTATCAAATACCGGGGAAACCAAAAATGAGAACCCAGATTATTTGGACCATTCAAGTACAGGGCTACTCTAACTATATTTAACGAAGATCCGCATACAAAACTTCGAAATTAATTGGGTCCGGTCTTTCCAGAAATTATATTTCGGCATCCTTAAAGGCGTACTTCCTCGACCAGCTAATGATTATTAGCAAATTGAAATTGTTTATTATGGTGTTATAGTTAGGGCTGGGCATTTTTGAATACCTGATGATTTCAGAATCGAATCGAATAATTTTTTCGAATCGAATCTTGAATACTTGGAAGGTCGGAAATTGTATGTAACTTTCCTATCATTTTAGGTCCTCCAGACACATAAATTACTGAAAACATAGAATACATCACTGACCATAAAAAAACACGTTTTCATCAATACCTCAATACAGAAAAGAGTCATATGTCAGAATTGTGTTGAAAAAATATGGCTTCAATGAAAAAAAAATTGGGAAATTTACCTCGACCATTGGCGAAAAGAGTAAAACAAGATGGCGACTATTCGGAATATTGCTCTTAACTGATTCGAATAATTTACTATTCGATTCGAAATGCCCAGCCCTAGTTATAGTGCTTTTCATACAAATTCAAAACTATAAAAGTCATTTTATAAAAGGAAACTTAAAAAGTGGGGCTAATGATCCAAAATAATGATTTAGGTGCGGTCCGAATCAAATACTAATATACTCGAAAGGCCCGGTTTTGGACCGCGGTCCGCCAGTTGAGTAGCCCTGTTCTAGAATATCAGTTCTCAATTTTTTTAAGCCACGCCCCTTTCTAGAAATTGTCAGGTCTCGCGCCCCACTTCAAAAATAACTAACTAACAATAAGCTACAAATAATAATAGGGCGAAAATATGTTTTATTCAAAAAACACATTGAAAATATGTGAATGGAACGTAAATATCCAAAATAAAGAAATGTAAATATTCAAAATAAGGCAAGCCTCAATTTAACAATTATTTTTTATTACCTTATCCCCCCTTGCGGGGCACGCCCGACCGTTTGAGAACCACTGTTCACAATCATACACGAATAGGAAAAATTTTTTAAAAAAAATCTTTATTTTTGTAGGAGTAATAAATTTATAAGTTCTGCGTACTTGGGTCACCCTGTATGTGAAATGATACTTCAAAACAAAAATCTCATTCTTTCAATAATCACTGAAAACAAGGGTTTTGGTAATCCCTGATAGAGGCAACAAGTCAGATTTTTCAAGCGAACTTCTTCAAAGCAAGATCACTTACTCGGAAGTTAAAAATATTGTGATTCTACATTAGATTTGTGGTGCAATTTGTTCTAGCAATTGCCAGTTATCCCAAGGCTTGAAGCGGTTCAATTCAAACACAGATGGTAGGAAGAATTTCGAATTAGATCCCTGTCTCCATGTCAAACAACTTTATATTACAGTAGTTTTATTTAACATTTATTCCAAACATTTATTCCAACTAAAATCAGGTAACAAGAACCGGGGGGATCTACAGAACGCATAGTTCGAAAATTTTTGGTTTTAGAAAGAATTCAGGATGGTTTACTTGAAAACATGAAAATATGCCTTCATTTAATTTCAAGTAACAAAAAAAAAATGAAACCTGTCAGTCAGTTAGTTTATTTTATCACAGACCGAAAGTAGACATTGGACAAACATAATTGGTAAAGAAAAAAAATGCATTTCAGTTTTAGAGGGGGCGAAAGAAAACGACTCCAGACACGACAGGCCGCAATAGCCATGGCAACCGCAGATCATTGAATAACCAACCAAAAGAACCGGTTAAATTTTACAAATGAAACTACGTTTTCACTTTGTATTTACTATTGCACTAAAAAAATAAAATTTATGTATTCGAGTGGAACATAGACAGTAATATAAGTTTAGATAGTATAACTGTGGTCATGTCATGCAATTGTGTTTGAAATAAACAAATAAAATTGTAATGCAATATGTGTATTTACAAAAGTAGAGTAAAAATATGAACATTTAGTTAATAGCCTAAGCCAACATGCACTCACTGAAACGCCAAAATCTTCTTAGACTTTAAGGAATGATAGCGGAGAATGTAATTAGTAATTACCGAGCAAGACTTGGACAATTTATGTCAAGGGTGTGCAACCTTTAATAGAGAAGGGACAGATACGAATAACCACGGGCCGCACCTTTATTTAACTTAACATAGACTTTCTAGGGTGCTCCCGAAGTATGCGAACCAAGATGGCGGACATCGGAGCGTAACATGGGTAACAGGTTAGGGTTAGGCGATAATTTTTTTCCAATTTTCCTTATTTTAGTCCTATTATCAGTTCGAAGACTAGCCTCCCGTAGTATTTATACCTAAAATTATGGCCTAACCCTAATCTAGTACACATATTACATTCCGATGTCCGCCATCTCGGTTCGCATACTTCGGGAACCCCCTTTCTAGTAGTGGCATACACAAAATATGTTGGTTATTGATCTTATGACACGCGTTGTTTGTTTCGCACATGCTAGCTGTTAGGGCATTGTTACGTCATAGGCATAGATAATGAATTGGACTCAAGTATAGGCTTTTCAATGCAAAGGGAATCACTCGCACTTATCAAACTAAACTAATTTCTCGTCTTGTGGACCGCAACTTTTCACTTATAAATGGGCCGCATTTGGCATGTGGGCCACAGGTTGCACACCCCTGTTAAAACTTGGAAGTCTGAATTTAATGCATGCCTTTTTTCCTAATTTGGTAGCTGTGTTGTTAGCGTATTTACAAAAAGGTAAAAAAATGAACAATTATTTAATTAGCGATACTTTTTATTCGCGTATTGGGCAATCTGAGAGAGGGTGCAATAATTTTTAATGTGGCAAAATAGAAAATCTATATTCATGATTCATTTTTTTAACGGTGTCTCGTTTGGTTTATATTTTCACTTCATATAATCTAAAAAAAAGGACGTTGATAAAAACAACACAATATTATGGAAAACCATATTTTTTTTTTTCAATTTCAAGACATATTATATCCTGGCATATAAGATGAGTCTGAAACTCTAAAAAGGTGCCAAGTTGGGTCGGCTTATACTTATACCGGCTATTATTATAAAAGTTTGGTAATGTCTACCTTGATACTGTTCAACTCTTCAACCATAAAACTCAATGAACTGTGACGGGTCAGAATAATCACATTCCAAAAAGGAATTGTCATTGATGATTCTTCATGCTCCATTGAATATAAATTTACGAGGTCGAATTATACCGGAGTAGACGAAACTCAAAATGTTTTCCGAGGTATGGAATACTTCAGCTTTACGGCTTCAAGACAAAATGTTTGAAAATCTCTTATACAGAAGGATTATGTGATGCATGAGCTGTATATTCTGGCGGGTTCTGGTTCGCTTGAGCTTCTTGTTCTTTTGTCATTTGAGAGTTTGCTGTCTGCGGGTAGGGAGGAACGGCCACTCCTGGTTGAGGAGGCATTTGTGTACCGGGGTAATATGAAGTTCCCGGTGCATATCCTTGAGCAGGTATCATAATGAATTGGCCGTTTGCGAGCTGAACCATTTGTTGTTGTGGATAAGCAGGGTGAGCTGCGTATACAACCACGCCTTGAGGTTTTTTGCGGCAACAGACACCAGCGCAACAATATGCTGAATGAATGATACAGATATTCATCCCAGCAAATCCAATGACAGCCATAATAGAATCAACGGCAATGATTCCACCGTTCCCTTTACGTGGGTAAGTGTCTCCAGCACATATCGCAGACATTATACAAAGTGTAGCCATGAAGCAAGAAGCTACAATACTGACCGCCATATTCGCATTATAAAAACAAACGGAAGGTTTTCCTCTAGCTTTGAATCCAAGAATTCCAGATGCAATTACAACACCGCCGCACCATATTCCGTGAGAAGCATACGTAACGCTATAACGAATTCTGTAATCGTACGTTCTGTTATTCCAAGTACTATGATAGACATAAGTCTTCTTTGTGCTTGCGATGATCAACGTCACGATGCACAAAACGACAGATAAAACGCCAAGAACAATTTCAGTAACTCCAAATCGATACAAAACAAGTTTGTATTTTTCTCTCAGCTTCGTCTGAGGGGTTGACGTATTCGTTGCCTGCTGGGGTGGCAAAGTAACCTGACTCTGTTGAGGGCTTGCTGTTCCACCCTCTGGTTCAAAAGCTTGATCAAGCCTTGAATATAAGCCAGCAGGACATTGAGCCATAATGCAACAAAATAAAGTAGTATCTATTGTAAATATTGTACTTATTACGCTTTAGATACAGAAAAATGAAGTTGATTTTCAATCAAGAAAAGGACATCTGTTTTAAAATTAGTTCTTATGATGGATTTTTATATTTATCCAGGAGCTTGCTAGTTATTGCTGTTCTCACCTCAAAATGGTTTACTTCTCTCACACTGTGGTAAAGATGACAAATTCTGTTTTAAGCATTTATTCTGATCTATATTATTATGGTCGGTAAACTGTGTGCCGCGGCCCAATCGTGGGCCACATTTTCTAGTGGGCCTCCAATAAATTTCAATTATGGCAGTGATAACTAACAATAATACCTCTTTAGGTATCACACCTAGAACAACTACAAAATATACAATATAAATATACTGCGGTATAAACATCTATAACACCTGTATAACAACAATGTATCATAAAAATTACTACAACTAACACCAGACTAGTAAAAGCACTGGAAAGGACATTAGACAATTACCCAATAGTATTGCTAACCCATTTAATACAGAGATGTCGAAAACCAGACTATCTAATTCTCTCCAATATCATTTTGACAATTCTCAGTATTGTCCAAGTGACCTTGGGTTGGACACCTGGGAATCTCTGTATTTATCCAAATTATGTTTGAAAATATTCACAGATGCACTCAGCCTCACATATTATGGTAATCTGGATAGGATAGGATTTACATATTTATCCCGGGGGAGAGGAAAGCCGATAAGACGGCTTATCCATATGGCGAACCACGGCCTCTCGTCCGGTTACCATTCCAAGTCGGGTATGGGATTAGTTATATTGTTTGTTTTCGGAGGCATGGACATGGTGGTGGAGGAAGCCGTAACCGACCAGCGGTTACGTGAACCACCCAATGACCGCGAGGAGTCCAGCAATCCTCTCGCACATAACCATCCCTGCATGGGTTCGAACCTGCCAACCCACGCAGAGTAATTAGAGGTGCGGTGGCGAGCGTATTCCTAACGCTTAGCCCGTTGAGCCACACCGCCGCGCCAGTATTTTGTTACCAAAAAAGTTTGGACGCTGATTTTGCCTTAGATTACAAGTTCAAGAAGACATGTTGAAAAATTGTTGCCAATATGTAGATAGATAGATAGATAGATAGTTCATTTTGAAAACTCCACAATCTGACAATACAAACAAATAAAAAATGGAGAATTCTGGAGAGCGCGCAAAACCTTCAAAAAAGTTTAAAAGAAGATGAGTATCATGTGCCCGCTCACCAACACGCATTCACAAAAAAAAAAACACGAACTTTGTTAAACAAGGCTTGGGCCAAAAATGAACATACAGAAAATACGCGAATGTGATAAACTTCCGGGCTGTTGTTCACTTTTAAAATACTCAGGCTAATAAGGACCAATTGGATCTGATACAATGACAACGTAAGTAGGTGTAATGTAATGTGATAAGGTGACGAAAAGGTCAAAAACCATGAAAACTACATTGATTTGGCATTGGTGACAATGTGATACAGCGAATCAAGATACATATAAACAAATCAAAACAATGCTGGTAAATTCTGCGCTCAGGCAATTAATTATAAAAACAATTATCAGGAAAACACTAACTGACTAATCACACGTAAACATGTAACCCATATATGTTTATGGCCCATAATAGTGTTGTCAGTCCCGAAACCTTTAAGCGGTTCTCATAGGTCTGTCCTCTGTAGCAGGTTATTTGTGATACCCAAAAAAGGGGTCTTGTGTAGTTTCGTACCTATCGTACTTCTAGTGGGCGGAGCATAACAATTTTTTGATATGTCAATCCTAACCCCCATCTGACTACGCCATCCAAAAATTACGTCACTACGACATCACAATCACGTCATAGAGCTTGTTAAATATACGTACAATCGCCCGAAATGGCATTGGCGCTGACGATAAAGAACTGACTGACGTTATCGATATCTTTCCTATTGGAATCGTTGCGACGAGAAAAATAACTGTTCGATTTCGAGTGCTCGTTTGCGCATCTTGGATGGCAGTTCGTATAGTTTGAGGGGCTCTATCACGTCACTGTAAGTGACGTCGTGTAAACGAAATTTTTGGATGGTGTAGTCAGGTGAGGGTTAGGATTGATACATGAAAAAATTGTCATGCTACGCCCACTAGAAGTATGTTAGGTACCAAACTACATGAGACCCCAAAAAAGTTCTATAAATCGACCATTCAGACATTTCATATAAAATTCTTATTAAATGGTTTTTGTTCATGTATCAAAGATTATGCATTCAGACGTTACATTATTTCAACACAACAAATTAAATGTCCTTTAATGACTAATAATGATAAATATTAGGCTTAACGGTGCTAAACTGACAGACTGAACAACACTCTCAAAGCATCAGGTCTACTTCTTTTTTTAGTTTAAAAAAAATCGGTTGATACCGGTACCTAAATCTGCAATTTCAGAATTTACAGTAAAGGTATGCTGAAGAGCTTCTGAACAATGTACCGGTATCTATTAAATGCAATATTATTCCAACCTTTCTTCCAGTTCTGCAGTTACAAATATTCAAGTTCAAAACACATGACACTCGGCAGCTCGACGAATAACACAAAAAAATGGTGCAGAAACGCCCACTTCTGCGCTTTGTTTATTGAACGGGGGACTTTAACTTGTGATTGCCGGTAGGACAAACGTCTGACTAATCTTGAAATATATATCAGTATCGATACACTCCTAAAGTTCATACTGCTTTGATATCAGACTTAGTACTTTTTGCTAGGCTTTTTTAAACTCTCAGAGATTTTTGCCGTTTTCCGAAGAAGTTTAGTACAGTAATGTGTTTACTTCACTGCACTGGTGATTTTGACGTCATTTGTTTTGTTTCTCGATATCGTGACCTTTGTGAATTTCGACTTTGTCGAAAACCAATCTTTAGGCCGCGAGCCGAGGCCATTTATCTTTCAGTTTCGTAGCGCACCTGAAAATGATTTTAAAGTGTTCCTCATGTATGTATGTTTATTCGTCTCGTAAAAGCAATATAAAAGAGTAAGTAATTATAAATACTGAAGACGGGATGTATGCACAAGACCATATTGGCCTAAAACACAAATGTGCGGCATACACCCCTTTTGATATATATAAATTATAATAGGGTAAATCAAATATGTACAATATGGTCCTTTATACAGGCAGTTGTGCAAGGAGGGTGGGTGGATGTGATAACAGGGATAAGGGTGGAGTGTACAAAACTGTTTGTACAAAGGAGTTTGTTAGACAAAACAACATCTATAAATAGAGACACAACACAACATGAAACACACTGCATATGAATATAGTAATAAAAAAAAATTAAGAATTTGGATGAATGTACAACACCATTGAGTGACGATACCACATACTATAAAACGCGGGAATGGTCAAGTTTAAAGGGTGTGTACATATATGGTATGCACCACTCAAGGGAGATAGTGTTATAAGTGGTCTATGGCTGTTCTGGCCAAAATATGACCCTACAGGTTTTGGTGAAATATGATAAAGTTATGTATCAAATTACTCACTATTGTAAGGTTTTTTTTTTTGAAATTCTGGATTCAGCCAAAAACGATGAAGTTTCAAAAAAAAAAATTAATAAAAAGCATTTCCACAAAACCTATTATGGTTGCATTTCAGCCAGAAGATTAGAAAGGTATAAAGGTACAGTGGGATAGGGAATGATAAGTTATAAAGAGAAGCCATTTTACCATGTTATGGATTTTCCAATGTAAATTAGAATAATAAAATTTTATGGTATCCTGGGATGAGCAGAAGAAAAAGTGTGATTTGGTGATAGGTAGCAACAATGGAAATAAATTGAACAGCATGCTACTCAAACAAAAACCATTGTCCCTACTCCCTACTATTTGTGCATTGAAGTTCTATTGTATTGTACTATCTATAACCTAAATTGCTGTGCTTTTGTCCTTAGAAATTTAGTAACAAATATTGCCTTGTTCCCACTTCCAAAAGTTGCACGTTTTACAGAAAAGACGCTTTTACTACAATAAATATGTGTTACCATCTGTCCTATTTTCTCTGTTTTTCCGGTATCATGGGCCAATGAACGCAGACTTATGCATGACGTAACAATCAAATTAGTCAGCTGTAGGTGGATCCCCAGTGGTCAGATGAATATCAGATGTACTACTACTTCTCGCTTTTGCGTTGAGTAGCCTTTCCATAGTTTTTTTAGTTATTATTATAGGCCGCGAGCCGAGGCCATTTATCTTTCAGTTTCGTAGCGCACATAAGGTAACTACCTGAAAATGATTTTAAATGTTCCTTAGAAATTGAGTAACAAATATTGCCTTGTTCCCACTTCAAAAGTTGCACGTTTTACAGAAAAGACGATTTTACTACAATAAATATGTGTTACCATCTGTCCTATTTTCTCTGCTTTTCCGGTATCATGGGCCAATGAACGCAGACTTCTGCATGACGTTACAACAAATTAGTCAGCTGTAGGTGGATCCCCCGTGGTCGGATGAATATCAGATGTACTACTGCTCGCTTTTGCGTTGAGTTGGGTAGCCTTTCCATAGTTTTTTTTAGTTATTATTAGTTCAGTTATTCTAAGGAGGTGTTGAAAAGTATAAGTAAGATATTAAACACTTGTATATCCTTAACATAAATAGCAATTTTAGTTGAGCACTAGCTCATAAGACGTTGTTAAATAGGTACGGTGCGGTAACTCCAAGGAAGGCTAGACCTGGAATAATATGTCACAAACAACGATATTTTCTGGCTTGCATGAAATGTTTATGATTAATTTAATGACTCTTCTTGACTATTCAGCAGACTTATACTACTATATAGGCCACAGCATATTTGGAAATAGAAATTAATGGCTGTTTCTGTAATGCACGGTTGTGTGAAAAAGAAGAAAACAATCAATTTTACTAATGTCGGTTGATCTAAATCTGAATTCATAAGGTCGACAAGAACCTGGGAAGCAATGATAAGTTATGCCGTGGAAAGAAAGTAGCATTGGAAGCGATTGAGAGGTGAGAAATC